GATCCTCAACTAGCTGTTATCATTGCGAATGTACCTCCTCATGGTCTTCAACCCAGTTTGGTGCATCCTACTATTGCCAAACCAGTTCAACAAGACAGTCCTCCAGAGTTCAAAACTCTGAGCTTTGACCATCATAAAAGAGCTACGCGCCTGAGAAGTCACTCGAGCAGGTATAACCGTAAAATGGCTGCTCACCAACCTTGAAAACATCAGCAAAATTATGTTCAAAGTTATCCTGTTCAGTATACTCAACAAACCTATGTAACTACTGTTACACCCGCCTTCAATTAGGTTCTATGTTAACCACCTGAAAGCCTCCTTCAAAGTCAAGGAGAAGTAGTTAACTTTTCTTGCATGATTAATGCACGGATTTTTGCTTTGCTGCCATTCTAGAGATCTGGTTGTGAATCTAAAATAGGTTAGGTTTGCAAGATATAATTATGTAATAATAGGGATATTGATGATTTTATCCAGTGTTGTCACACTAGTTCTCGAGTGTAAGCGATTTGAACACTTTTTTTGTGGCTAAATCTTCCACTATGAAGTTTCGACACGCCATTCACACAGCTTGTCGCAGTATCGGGCACGTGTTTGACACCGATACGTGTACGACACGTATCTGACACATTTTTGAAGTGTCCAATGGAAAAAAAAATTAAATCGCAACGGACACGGATACGACACCTTATTTCAAATAAAGGACATTGTCCAACTCAAAAAATTTCAAAATTTAAAAAAAATAAAAATCCAACTCAATAATTTTGAGAATTAAAAAAAAAAGTTGCGCTTAAAGCTACTTGCACAACCTTGTTCGTTATCATATTGTAAAAGAAATTGCAGCACATATTCATTTATCCATTCTTTAAAGAAAAACAAGATGACACCACATTGAGCGAAAACTTTAGTATATATGCATAGTAACCTTCGACTTCTATCAAGGAGCACTCTCCAATATCATTAAGAGGAAACTTAAATGTGGAATGTCGCTTGAGATGAGTTTGGATCATTAGATGACAATGGATTTTTTTTTAAATTGCTGACTTGTCTTTAAATGAGTCAGGCTTAAAAGTTATTTTCTTTAATGTGGAGTGACTATGATATGGTTTGTATCATTTTGCTTTGGTAAATTTATGTCTTTTTTTATTGATTGAATCATTTTGCTTTGGTGAATTTATGTCTTTTTTTATTGATTGAAAATAACAAATTTAAACTAAATATTTGTGAAAAAAAAAAAGAAATTAATGTAAATTTTGCTTCTCATTTTAAACTCTTTATAAATTGTGCTCGAAATTGGATTATTATATTAATATATAAAATATATATAGCCGTGTCTGTGTTCCGTGTTTTTAACATTAGCAGGATCCTCGTGTCCGTGTATGTGTCGGGTCCTGTGTCCGTGTCCGAGTCCGGACTTCATAGGTCTTCCACATAAATTATGTAGATATTTTGTTATGTATTTTTCCCAAGTAAATTAAACCTTTTAAAGGTCATGTTTATTTATATGATATATCACCATAGCAAGTATCGTCTTCCTTGGTCCATCTCAACATAAAACCAATCTCTTTTTTTTTCTTCCTGTTGGTTTTCTGTTTTGAGCTTCCATAGTTTTCTGTATTCTTGTTCTAACAATTATTTTTTTTGGGTACAACAACTGTTATTATTTTATTCCTTTCATTTATTTATTTATTTATGTATTTGTCTATGGAAACTTAATTTATTTAAATTTGTGAAGGAAAATTCATTAATGGCGACACTATGATAGTTGATGGTGGACTTTGGCTGAGTCGGCCTCGTCATATACCGAAAGAGGCAGTGAGGCAAGTATCGCGAGCACTAGAAAAGAAATCCAGAAATGAACCAGTTGGAGTTCCCAAAAGCAAGCTGTGAGCCAGCAGATTCAGTATTAGACCCTCTACACTGCAGGGAATTACTTCTTTAAACAATACAATGGATGAAGGATATGATCTCAGTAACTTATAAATTGAAATTATTACTAAGTTCAACTTTCTCCAACTTAGATATATAAATTATGATAGTTTCAAGTTGCAAGCTACATCCAACAGAAAATAAAAAAGTCATTGTTAGATCACATGATTGTGCATTATGCTATCTGTGATTATTGGAACTGTATTCAAATTCAGGTGTAACTTTTAATGTGATATGTGGCAAGTGATTACATTCTAATAAACACATACTTAGTCATTTCATTTCAGATAATTTAAAAAGGTTTTGAATTTTGGTCCCTTTTATTTTGTTTTTTAAAACTTTTAATCCCCCTTAAAAAAAACTTTTAGGTCTTGTTTTGAATTTTCTTGAGTTTTTTTTTTCACAGTTTAGAATTGTTCATGTGATATGTTCATCAATGATGTGGTAAATAAAATGTTGACCTAAATTGAAATAACAATGTCATATCATTTAAAAACATCTTATTTTAAACATGTTAAATAAAAAACGTTATAAATTAAACATTTCAAATGAAAAGCATTATAAAATATGACATGCAACTGAGATTGATCTAGCGGTCAGCGATTAAGTTCCAATATTCAACATTAAGTAATTGTTGTGTGTCTTGCTCCAATCATGACGAATGCAAGTGTGATCTTCCTTCTCCATTGATGACAGTGTGAACGGATTTGAACCCAGGTCGTCGTTTTTTTTTGCTGTGGGATGTACAAGGTGAGTTTCATGTGTAATATCCATGAAGAATGTTATTTTGTGATTTCCAAAAAATTCTTAATTTTTCTTGTTTATTTTTAGAATCAGGGATACAAGAGATGTAGTCACTTTGTCTAGTACGATGAAAAAATGTCTCAACGAGGCAAAATAATATCTTCAATGCACCAAAAATTAAACCAAGAAAATGTCAAGTTAAATGAAGCCATTATTAGAGGAGATCAATTGAAGTTGAAGATCAAGTTCTTGAAGATGATGGACAAGTTTACCATGAGAATGCCATTAGTGTTGTTAATTGGATTGACTATATCAAATGTAATAAATTAGTTGATTCTGTTAGGTCGTTTGTGTTAGGTTTGTTTGTATTAGGTTTGTGCAATGTAAGCACTGTTAATGTGACTATGCTAAGTTGAATGAAGATTGTTGTTGTTGAATATTGAGTGCAATGTTCATTTGACATGTAATTGTTGTTATTACGTAATGTGTAATTGTTATGACAAACTTGTAATGTTAATTTGAGTGCGAAGTTAATTTGAGTGCAATGTTATGTAATTGTTGTTATGTTAATTTGGTCATGACAGTTTGTAATGTTATGACAAATCTGTAATGTTATGACACATTATGAAATGTTTTGACTTTTGACCAAGACATGATCTCAAGCCTTGGGCATGATTCAAGACACTCAAAGACACCTTTGGAGTTCATCCATAGTTTTCAAATAGCTCAAGAGTTTGATTTCATTGAAGTATGTAATTTGAATTTCATCTGATACAAAAGTCAATCACTGATCTAAGTCAAGTTTGACTTTTGAGATTTTTGGTAAACACATGGGTTCCTCAAGTCAAGGATCATGATAATATGTGATTTGGATCATGATAAATCAAGAAAATCAACAAGAACATCCAAAGGTCATGATTTGTGAAAATTAGGGTTTCCTTGATTTTTCTAAGTTATGAAATTTCATGATTTTTGTCCAACTTCTCAAGACTATAACTTCCTCATCAAGCAACCATTTTCTTACTCCAAAGATCAAATTGAAGAGCTTGCTACATACTACTACTTTTTATTATGAGATGATTTTCAAAATATGCATGGATTAAGAGATATGAGGCCATGAAGTGGAGGGTTCATTACTTTTATAGCAAGAACACTTAGAAAAAATTTCAACAAAATTTTCCTTGTCATGAAGCCAACTTTACAAGAATTTTTCACCATGATCCCTTTTGATTCAAGGAAAGTTGTCAACATGAAAGTTGTAGAGGATGTTTTAAGCTTTCCAAAAAGTACAAGAACACAATTTTATCATACTTGAGTTAGGAGTTTCGAAGAGATGAAGTTAGCCTTCAAAACCTGAATTTTAGGTCATTTATATGGCAAGTTCATGATCAAATCCAATGCCTATGCTGCACAATCTTGCTTTTCAGGATATTTTGATTCTAAATCACACCATGATCAGGACATTACACAAGCTCTTGGTGCATTACACAAGGAGGTGGAGCATTTTCCAAGTATCATACCATTCCTGAGACTTTTTCATAAAGCATTATGTCTATTTTGATAAAGCTTTCTTTTGCCAACCACTTGAGCCCCCAAGATGTTGCATCAGATTAAAAAAAAATTCATGATTAGTGTAATACCCCAAATTTTGCCCTAAGATTTGTCGTTGCATTTTTATTGCATTTAATCAATTACTAACAAATTTGTGTAGTCGTTCGACTTTTTGCAGGTAAATATCATATGGCATGCATTTTTTTTCTGAAAAGTAAAAATGGCACAATTGGCAGGAGGACATGTGTAAGGAGTTATGAGTGTGAGAGGTTGAGAGTTTGAATCTCACCTTTGTCACTTTTTTTGTTTTTTATTATTTTTACTCTAAATTTTTCTATCTTTCATTAAAAAAATAACAAAAATAGTTTTTTATTATTATTTAATTATTATTTTCGTATTTTAATTAAATCATTTTTTAAAATATTATTTTTTTCACTTTTTTCTAAATTATTCATAAACATATCCAAAAAATCATAAAATAAAAAATATTGAAAAAAATTTTGTTCTTTTTATAATATTTTTGATTTTAGGAATCAATAGGATTATTAGTTTTTATTTTAAGTTTATTTTAATTATTTTAAATTATTTAAATTTTATTTTTTCTTAACTAATTATTTAGTTTGAGCTTTAAAATGGGCTTTAGGGACATTATTGACAATTTGGTGTTAACCCTAATTTGTTCCCTATATATACATGTGTTGCCTTGTTGGAAAAAAGGGGAGAATGAAAAAAACCTAAGAGGAGTGAGTGTCGTTTGCCGTTATTTAGTTTTCTTCTTCATCCATTACTATTGTTTCTTTTTCTTCATCGTTTACCGTTATTTCTTTTCCTTCATCTATTACTGTTGTTTCTTTTTCTTCATCTTTTACCGTTATTTCTTTTTCTTCATCTATTACCGTTATTTCTTTTTCTTTATCTATTACTGTTACGTTTATATATATATATATATATATATATATATATATATATATATATATATATATATATATATATATATATATATATATATATATATATATATATATATATATATATATATATATATATATATATATATAATTTTTAAATTGTTAGAGTTTATATATATAAGATTAATTTTTGATCGAATTATGTCGATACGATGTTTGCACATTTGTGTGCATGACGCGTGACATTTGTGTTAGTTCGATCTGGTTGCGATGATCGCATTTTTGTGTGAGCAATAATACTATTTTTTGCTTAATTTCTTTTTCTTTGCGATAAATTTTGTTTCGTCCGATTTAGATCTGGTTGCGATGAGCGCATTTCTGCGTTAGCAACCTTGTTGGGTTATTTGGCACATTTAAAATTCATTATTGCTTTATTATTATTATTATTATTATTATTATTATTATTATTATTATTATTATTATTATCATTATTTATTATTATTATCATTATTATCATTATTATTACCATTATTATTATTATTGTTATCATTAATTTATTAAAACTTGTTATAATATAAAAATCTGTTTTTTAAAATAAATAACATTAACATCTTTTCCAAATTAATATGAAAACCTATTATTTTTAAGAAAAACTTTTTTTTAGATAAATTTAAAATAATAACTAAAATCTTTTTTTTAAAATAATAACTAGAACCGTTATTTATTTTATTTTATTATTGTTCAATTCAAATTTCATTATCATATTGTATCTGCTCCTCTCATGTAACCTCGCGAACTTAACAATCGCTCTTTAAATTCTGCCTTTAAATTTCTGCTTGCATGGTTTAAATTATGACATTATCTCTCTGTTTGCATGATTCAATTATCTCACGCGTTTACCATTATTTCTGTCACATTGCACACATCCGAAGGTTAGGTCTAACTGTTTGGCCGCCGCGCTAATAGTCCGTAAAACTTCACACATTCAATTTCAAATCCTCAAAACTACAAGCTACAAACCCTAATTTTCACAAATGCCTCGCCGCAGGCAAGATTACAATTTTACCCCTAGCATTAGGTCAAAGAGCCGCCGCGCTCAGTTTAGGGTTTCCCGCCGTGGAATCCCTAATTTAACCCTAATTACAACTTAACAATTCAACATAGAGATTTGGAGTTTCTACACTCCACGTAAGCGTGTCCTTAAGACATGTTTATTCCCCGTGAGACCTTGACCACAGTCAAGAAGTCTCTAACCTCCCTTTTGAGGGGAACTACGATTACTCTGATTCCACTCCCGTAAGGATACGTAGGCACAAGATGCGATGTCTTGCCGAGTAAACTTAGAATTAACCCCTTAGGTCTCTTTTCTCACTTTTAATCCTTTGTACATATACCTTAAGCAAATAAATAAAGCAAATAGTAAACATCTGAACAAAAGGTTCCTGTAGAGTACTACAGAAGTTTAGGGTGCTAATACCTTCCCTAAATTTAACCAACCCCCGAACCCTAGATCTTTCCCCGCATTGTGTTTACGATGCAAAATAGGTTTTCCCTCTTTTGACCTTTTCCTTCGGATAAATCAAAGAGCGGTTGTGAATTGAATTGCGATTCAAACTCATTAATAGTTTGTGATCCTATTTCCACCGCAACAGAAAATGGCGACTTCACTGGGGACTGTCTTAACTTTTGAGGGTTATCCCTAATTTGTTCATATTTATTACTATTTGTCTTACTATTCATTTGCATGTATATATTGTA